ATGATCTGCGTACTGATTAGTCAAGAAGCCTAAGATTTGTGCGACATGTCTGTTTTATTATCTGTAAATCTAGACGACTGATAGGATTCACAAGTGAGAAGTTATTGACAAATGAGTCTACGTTTACGCTCTTCAAAATATATGTGCACCTTCCTTGAATAATGCTTGCTTATCTTTTCAAACATCAGTACCATAGATAAGATACGAGTGGAAAACGTCCAAAGACGATTCACACTGCGACCGCGGGGAGTAAACATACTCTCGACTACACGGAAAGATGCAAACATCTTTCATTAGAACCTTTATGGCGCCGTCGGTTAAAAAACAAACAAATGCTCTTCCGCGAAATAAATATGGTCTCTCCTTTGTAACATCCCGCCCAATTACGAACCACAACCCTGCATACAGATTCAGAAACAATGTATATACATTACTGACGATAAAACACAAAATTTAATTGCGTTATAATTGTCTTGTAACACGATACAATTAATGGTGAAGCAGTCTACCAATTTCTATCCATGTCTGTAACACAATCACCAGGTTCAAGAAACTCTGTTGTTAGACTCTAAAGAGGTTTACCAACTGTTACGTCCAAGTTTTGCTCCTTACCGTTATTGAAGTACAGTATGTCGATCTATTTGCTATTCACGAACCCAAATTAACAACAAAACCAAATCCAAAGTAGGTACCAAAGTTTATTTGTAATTCAGAAATAATCGACCAAACTGTCGTTCTTCAATTTACAAATTGACGACCAATGTCGTTCTAACAACAATAATTATAGTAATTACAAATACCTTCAATTTTATAGGTTCCTGGAGCAAACACTCCAAATGACCAAAACCAAGACAAACGGAATTCAAAATGGCCGAAAATAATAAATCAAACAAGTTCATAAGTTAAGTAAAACAAATATAACCAAAAAACAGTGAAATTAATGATATTTATACAAAGGTTTTGATCAGCCAAATGTCTTCATTTCTCCCGTAACAACCAACTATTTCACATGGTCCGCCTGATGTTTAAACTGACCCTAGAAACTACTTACAGATCATGAATATATTGCATCCTCATTTTCATTCATGCAAGTATCACCAAATAATAGACAAATACCCCTATTTCTACTAAAACTAGTAGGTCACTGCGTCCTGCTCCTACCCCTAACATTTGGAGTTACTTTAATATTTAAAATCGCATCATTATCTTATCTTTCACAGAACTTTTAGTTTTTATTGCTATTAGAAAGATAAGCTAAAAAACCTGTTGATGCTGCTCAAATACTGTCGATCACATGAAACTCAAACTATCATGCATTATTTTGAGTTCCTTCTTGTTCGTATATTAAAAGTTCAGTAAATTTTTCAATTCCGGTTTCATTAACATTTAAACACCTTGCTTTCTTATTTATTTATCACCTTATTTATGAATTTTTTGTCTCTATTTTCCTTCATATTCTTCCATCGGCTGCCTATCTTCCGATCTTAAAACTACCTAGTAACTCACCTTCATCTCACAATTTATATCATTAGTTAACTTAATGTCAGTGTGATATGCTGCATGAATATATTCTTCATTAAACGGAAACTGAAACTGTCTGTCCTGCCTGTAACATAGAGTGAGCAGAGATAGTGTATTCCGACAAGTTGTGCAGCAACTCAAAAAAGGCACATAAAATATAAACTATAACGAAATACATGTATTATCATCCCAAAAAAGAATTGAACAGATTACCAAGATGTAGAACTGAAAGAATCAATAGAAACATATTACAAATGTATATATGGAGGGATTTTCCCAGCCAAAGCATTTCGAAATGGATTCTACAGGTGGTGTATCTGACTAGCGATCATGATGGTGGTACGATAACCCTAATCCACCCATGTCTGTGGGGCAGAACGATTTTTTGCTTACGGCTCCTTGCGATGTGACAGGATGTAACAAATCATTGATCCTGATATTAATTTTCCATGTTAACCGAGCCTATGACTCACGTTTTCACGCTTGTAATGGTTCCACTTTCTACCAAGAAATCCTACTACAAGCCCATTCAAGGATTAGTGTTGCAAAAGGACTCACTCGTTTTCTAATACATAAATGAACGGCCTGAGTAATCACACCTTTGTTTTGTATAAAAATGTATCTGTCATGACTCAGCTTCACACATAAATATTTTCTCTTCTGCTCCTCGTTCTTTCCTTTTTTCAGCACCTCACTATACGCCTTAAATACTAGCCTTGATATTCCCGAAGACATACAGTTGTTTTTACCAAGAGCACGTCAAGTTATTTCCTGATGAATGCCATCAAGATCAATACACATTAACCTAATCAATTCTCGTTATATGTAGTCACAGGTCTACCTTACGTTCATTCTCAACCAGTAGTCGTTTGTCGCAACGCAACCTATATATCTGGCACCAGCCATCGTATCAAAGTTCGAAAGATTTAAAACATCATAGGAAAAAATATTAGCCAGAGTATATTGTGAAATGTTTGTATAACTGAACAACCGTTTACAGTAGATATGTTTGCTATTTTAACCTTTTAATCTTGCCTGTACATTGGCATGCCTCATGCAACACGCCGTTTGTTTCAATAAATCATTATTATTAACATATCTTCCAGTCTCAATACTGGCATACCAAGTGAAGAGATGAAACGGTTGTAATACGTAGTGGTAGCTAGTGAAAAATAAATTTATGGATGAGGAGAGCAAAGTCCTCAAGGTTTTAATGGTGACCGAGTCGAGATTGACTATGATCACCGCTAAACATTAATCATTATCCCGTCACAATGAATGCAAATAAATCCAAGGTAAAGAATATATTTGAAGGAGAAAGAGGGCGATACAATGAGCAGCAAGTTATGAATGATGGCAGCGACGCAAAAAAGAAGGTTGCGCGTATGTGATTGTTTTTGGTACAGTTAAACAAGGCCGGTACAATAATAAATGTTTTCTTTTCATTAATTGCGTTTTATTCATAGAAGTGTTCCACTACAATGTGAAGACATGACTCTTCGAATTGCAGGTTCACCTGATGTAGGGTTTACGGATTCTAACATTTTAGTTGGTTTAGCAGTAGCTGATATTTCTCTTCTACTTGAGTTATTCATTATAATTTAAACTGGGTGTGATAAGTGCTTGTTTGGTGAAGGAAGGTGTGTCATGGTAGAACCAGTTGAGCATTAGCTAGGCCAATACTAAAGTCCATGAACGTCAGAAGAGGTTATACGGATTAAGTGTTTAGCTTATAAGTATAAGAATCACTGTTATTAGACGACTATGTTGCATAATGCATTCGGAAGTTAAAGACAGCCTTCTGTTGGTCAAACGGTTGGGGGCTTATAAAGAGTATTTAGGGATGTAAGTCCAAATGAGTATATTGAATGATTCGCCCTTTAGAAGCAAACTTAACCGGATGTAGAAGATAATCTGAAAATACTAGTAAAATACCCTACAAATGAGTAGTTTTCTAAAATATTTTTCCCACGTATAAAAATATAACCCCTTTCAGAATTCGAGCAGACACTGAGTGTGAAACGCCGTCTCTTAGTACTACCGGAAATTCATATCTCTCTAAAAAATACATTCCTATTATCGCCGGAAACAAATTCCATACGGGTAAAACCTAGGGCAGTTATCTGTTAAATCCAAGATCTGGCCCGGTCTTTTTCCGCCCAAACGCCTCGATTTTAGTTTGCCGGCTCATTTAAATGTACCTGGGCATATTTTTCGACCCAAGTCATTTTTCAGGAGTGATACTCAGTGCATAAACTGAATTCACCAAAACGTCTGAGCCGGAATTTCTATCTCGAACCTCAAATCGGCAACTATTTAGGCATCCATCCTCAGTTTTTATGACTGTTGAAGGGGTTATTTGTTCCCCATAATCTTGCGATCCCGTCTCCACTATGCATATGGTTGGCTGCACCTGGTTAACTCAGCTCTAAACTCCTAATGGTGCCAGAAGAACTGCTCAAGTCGTCTGGGTGTTTGTGACCTGCTACATGACCTGAATCATGTTAACTACGGCGACTCATTCCAGTTTCCGCAGTCTGTTCGCTTCTTTGAGACGGTCTCGTTGAACATTTTAACACCTACGATGAGTTATGTTATAAATGCTATGAAATAAACAAATGCATGTATTAATCGACCAGGTCCAGCATCATGACAAAAATAGATAATAAATTTCGTGTTCACAGTAGAGCCCATCGCTGTTAGGTCTTACCTTTTACCGTCTATATATATATATATATATATATATATATATATATATATATAAGGACATTTAGGATTTTTGCTGTTACATAACGCCATCTGGATGTCAAGAGCACTGAAATATAAGCAGCACATGTAAATTCTAGATCTACAGAATATTGATTCAACTAGACCACTGAAACTTCTGAGCCTTGGTATATCGTATGAGACTCGAGGTAAGATCGCTTATCGCAAACCTAATCTTTTGTTCCCAATAGCTTTCCAGGAACAATCTAGAGTAATAAGATATAAGGGCTAATTTCTTTTTTGTTTCAAATGCTCTTTGCGATTTCTCCATCGTTCATGATCGTTTACTTTTATGGTCAGTCTGTTTACTGAAGGATTTTAGCAACCAAATGCTACAGGGTATAGCATACACAGATTCTTGAAATCAAAAAAGTTCTAATGGGGAGAGCATAAACCGACAGGAAGGAGCAATTCACAAAAAGAGGTAAAACAAGCAAGGGGTGTTTGCACAGAAGATAGGCAGCAATAAGAGGTTAGGATAACTGGAAGATTATCCTTAATGAAAATGTGATTTTCTGTCAACATATAGCATAAGTTTTCGATTAATTTTATCTTATAAACTGGAATTTCAAAGATTCGACGCATCAGAAGCGATTACTAACTGCTTTTCTTTCCATCTTTCAATATTAAATCTTCACGGTCAGGTTTCGCTATTGTCACTAAGACCTAATTTAATTTTGTAAGCATGGTTTGTGTTATCTTATAAAACGGTTATGTTTGGCATGGAGCTCAACAGAACTGAACTTCCGCATATACCGTTAACAAAAACATCCGTTGTTTCTTATCCTCATCAGTCAATAGATTATATAAAAGAAATACCAAAATGTGACCGACAGAGCTTGGTTGAATGGAGATTAGGTGTTCAGGAATCTATTACTATCGGAATCCTTGAGAAAATTTCACTTTTAAAGGCTGATATGATTGAACATCTGAAAAAGTCAAACTTCTTGGAGCATGAACAGAAGTCCCAGAAGGATATTCTTATCAATGAAATCAAAACCCTACTTCAGAGTATTGAAAAAATAGATGTAGAAGTTCGTGTAAGTCGTTGATTAAATTTTTAAACTCCGAACATGATTTTAAAGAATTATTTTCTTCTCTTGAACAAGACAATCACTGAGTGTGTGTATACTTAAGAGAAACGTTAGCAATAGGTAGCGATGCCTTTAACAGCTACTGTTTGCATGGGATTTCCAGTATGTTCTTATAAATGGATTTCTGTTACTTGGGTAAAGACACGTACAAAATTTAGCAGAGTTTACTTTCTAACCAAATTTTTATTGTTCGCTATTTATCCCTCCTCAAAAGGTATTAACTGCTATTAGCAGTTTTCTCTCCATGTGTCTAAACAACCTATTTACCTAAAGGAACAACAAAAACATTCATCCAGAGCGTAAATTCCAAGAAGCGGACTCAGTTAGAGCCCATTTTTTGGTTTACATAACTAACTTCTACAAATTGCCCCTTTTCAAACTACAGATTCGGTGCTGATATCTATTATACACTGACTCTTAGCAATACCAATGTACTCTAAATATTTTAGCTTCGACGATGCTCTGAAATAGGCAGACGGTTACCAGCTCTTCGAAAATTTTAGCCATTCCAAGGCTGTTTATTAACGCTTTTGGATTAGGCTCAAGCAGAACACAAACATCTTTTTTTGCTTTCTGTTCCATATTATATTTTATGTTTAGTTAGAGGCAGACATTATTGAGTGTGTTGGTGAAAATTCAAAGATTCTTGGTTTGAAAGATCATATATATAATCAGTAAAAAACGCACAAAATAAAAATTGTTTATTGGCCCTGAAATCCAACACTTAAGGTTGAGTACAAATATTTTCATCCCACATATTTACCAATGAAAAAATATTGGTGACTAAAATAACAGATTACTTGTTGTTCACAAATAAGTTCAGCTTAAAGAATCTGCAAAAAGTATTGGCGAAAACTCATACAAAAGCTTTTATACATCAGACCTAAACTATATTAGATGTCTTGCACTAGGTTGTATTAGACAACACGTTACCGAATTAGGATAAGGCGGAACAGTTGTCTACTGTTACCTATCATCACTGTCTTTTCCACCGCTCTTGCCTTCGCTACCCACCACTGTTCAAGATCGTTCCTTAAGCTTTTTGTCAGTCTGCGCTTAAGCTGACTTCTCTCTTTGTCATGTTTGGAGCCAGACGGGATGAGTTTTTGAGCGTCCATCAGTTCAGTAGATTCTACTGAAATCCACCACCTCTCCCTACCTTTATTTACCATACTAGCAGATATCACTGCTGTTTCCACAGCTTTTTGGTATCATACCAAGCTGCCTCAGCATGGGCATCACTTACATCGCTGCCTAATTGTCTTTCTAGTCTCTCCTGAAATAAATTCTCAGCTTTGTTATCACTAAGTAGAACCCTAAGAGGTTTCCTTGTGATATCTTTCCCACGTCTAGTAAGCCTCAAACAAATACGCGTTCGCACTAAAGCATGATCTGAGTCTGAATATGTTCCCCAGAATGAGCGAGTCTTTTGTCGAGCTCCTTCATCGGTGGTTGATAGCTATGCGATATAGTTGGGTCCAGCGTTGGGATGACTTAGGGTATAGCCATGTCAAATGATGATTTTCCGTATGCTTAAGTCAGTCGGTCAGTCAGTCAGCTGCAACGTAGAACTTCGTACTTATGTACATAAGTTCATGTTGCCATACCATATTAGCACAGAGACGCAAATGTCAAATCAAATCCCATAATGGTAGAGATAGTAGAGGTATTAATGGTAATGAAGAAGACTAGGGTTCGAAGATATTATTCAAGAAGTAAATTCGGTGAGATAAGGTTAGAAAGACAAAGGTAGAGGTGCTGAAGAATCCAGAAGATTAGGATTTGAGAGAGCACAACGAGTGGATGCACTTGCGCCATTGCAAACGATTTTGAGCCATGTCATTCAAGGTCTCTAACCATCGATTATTATCATCTCGCGGACCACAACCAGTCGACAACTACCAACATGACTCAGTCCACTTGTCAATGACTTCATGGATTTCTGCCATGTTTTGGTCAGGCTGCCCCTAGCTTTCACCCAACCTACTCCTACACCACAAAACATAGCTGGTCGAGGCAGTCGGTGGTTAGGCATACGCAGCACATGTCCCAACCACCTCAACTGATGAAGTTTCACCACTTCATCTATTGATCTGCCATCCTTACCTAGCACCCGTTTCCTAACGACAGCATTGCTTACTCGGCTGTCCCACGGTATACGAACAATGCTTCTTAAACATCTATGATCGAATACTAGTAACCTACGAACATCTACTCTTAACGGCCATGTTTCACAGCCATCTAGGAGAACGGAGCCAACTGCTGCGCAGTACACCCGTCCTTTGGTTAGCGAACGGATATCACGCCTACGCCATAAGTGACGCAGGTTGGCAAAAACCAATCGAGCCTTCTGTATCCGCGCTGAGATTTCGTCAGTCACCAGGCTATCAGTGCTGATGAGACTCCCCAGATAAGTGAAGTGATCTACACGCTCGACCACTTCACTCCCTATCACTAGTTCAGGTACCGATGCAACCCAGTCTTGAAGCAACATTTTGCATTTTGAGGGTGAGAACCGCATCCCGAACATGCTCGCATTGTTGCTTATGGTAGTCAGAAGACTCTGCATTTTGTCAGCGTCTTCACCAAGTGTGACTATGTCCTCGGCATATTCTAGATCAGTAGGCGACTTTCCTGGTAGAAGGTCAACCCCTGAAAAATCTGACGAGCTTAATGTTAACTCTAAGAGGATGTCTACGACAAAGTTAAACAAGAATGGAGAGAGTGGACAGCCCTGACGGACACCACTTGATGTAGAGAATTCAAATGACAGTTCGCCATATGCTCTCACCCGACCAGTGGTGTTCGAGTAGAGAGCTTGTATAAGGTTAATTTACTTTTTTGGTACACCTTTCAATGACAGACACTGCCACAGAACCTCACGATCCACTGAGTCAAATGCCGCTTTTTGGTCCAGGAACACAACTATTGTCGGACGTCTAAATGTGTGTCTGTGTTCCAGGACCTGTCGTAGTGTGAAGATATGGTCTATACAACCACGTCCAGGTCGAAAACCAGACTGGTTTTCTCTAGTCTGCTATTCACGAGCTCTAGTTAGACGTCTAAGTATAATCGAGGCTAACAATTTAGAAACTATATTAGTTAGACTTATTCCCCTGTGATTGTCACAAGAAGACTTTTGTCCTTTCTTGTAGATTGGGACAATTAGCGACTGAGACCAGTCAGATTGGATTACGTCCAGTTCCCAGATCCTACCTAGGATCTCGGTCAGTCTAACTGTTAAAACTGGACCACCATCCTTAAACATCTCAGGGGTAAGCCTATCAGGACCTGATGCTCTACTTCGCTTTAGATTTCCTACAGCTTTCTCAACTTCATGTAGACTGGGAGGACTTAAATCGATTGGCCATTCAGGATGACTGGAGATCGTGGGCAACCGAAGTGTGGCTCGAGGCCAGTTGAAATGATCCCTAAAGTGTTCTGCCCATCGATCCAATCTTCTGGATTGAGAATGGATGATAAGACCATCCTTTTCCGAGATAGTCTCACTCACATTCGGGTTCCTAATACCGGTTTCTGTAATAAGGCGGAAAAGTTGTCTAGTGTTGCCTATCGCCGCTGCCTTCTCCATCGCTTTTGCTTTCGCCACCCACCACTGTTCGCGGTCTTTACGTGGGCTTTTTATCAGTCTGCGCCTAAGCTGACTACGCTCTTCATCATGTTCAGAGTCAGGTGGGATGCGTTTTCGAGCATCCATCAGTTCGGTGGATGCGACTGAAATCTACGGCTTCATCCTAGCCTTATGGTTTACCTTGCTAGCAGATATCACTGCCGTTTCCACAGCTTGATTATCATCAAGTAAAGCACTAAGAGGCTTCCTTACGGTGTCTTTCCTACGTCCAGTGGGCCTCAAACAAATACGCGCTCGCACTAGGGCACATATGCCCCAGGACGAGCGACAGTCCTCTATCAAACCCCTCCATCGGTGGCTGATGGCGATATGATCTAGTTGCGTCCAACGTTGAGACGACTTCGGGGGTCGCCAGGTCAAAAGATGTTTTCCCTTATGCTTAAAATTAGTGTTTGCTAGAAATAGGTGGTTATCTGAGCACAGTTGCAACAGACGGTCGCCATTGTCTGTTATTTGAGCCGCGAGACCATAACATCCACCTAGCTGTCTTTCATTTTCACTTAGTCTACCTACTTGAGCATTGAAGTCACCAGCCATTATAACTATATCAGGGCGCTTAACTTTTTGGAGGTCCGAAAGCTTTCTGTAAAACTCATCTTTCACATCGTCTGGACTGCAGTCAGTGGGAGCGTAGGCTGATATGACGAAGAGGCAACGACGAGTGTCCCTATCCTTTCGAATCCTTACTGTCCCGTTTAGTCGGACGGCGCACAAGCGACTATCTACAGGGATCCAGTCAAGGAGAGATTGTCCTGCCCTACGACTCAATGCTATACCTACACCAGCGAGACCCCTGGAAGCAGCATCAGGGCTACCGGATACACGAAGGGTAAATCGAGTTGCTTTATTTTGACATGGCGAGGTCAAGTGAATGATGCTACTCGGATCCTGTATGCGCGTTTCCGAGACGCAGCACACATCGATTGAGCGAGATTCTAAAGTCCTAGCTAATGATGCCTGTTGCCCTATTTGACACAATGTCCGTACATTAAATGCTCCAACATGTAGTTTAGAACAGGGTTTAAGGAGACCAGGAACGACGTTTCGTGAACTCGCATCGTTTGCATTAGCTGTGCATTATGATAAATGAATGTGAGAAGAATTAGTCGTGGAGATAAGAGAGGTACTAGGGGGTGTAGGAAGGATTTGATTTTGACCAATTTGGTCTCGTGTGCTGTTATGGGTATGAGGGCGGTTATCACTTCCCGGCTGCCCACACTGTGGAAGGTTGTTTCTTGAGGGACCTGAAAAGGAAGATAGATTAGTGTTGGTCTTGGAGACCTGGGAACGTGACCGCAGAGCCCAAGGGACAACTGCTTGAGGCCGGTCACGCACGGCCTTTTTATGAGAAGTGAGTGTTAGCTCCGCTCTTGAAAGCCCTTAGTGGGCACCCTTACCAAAGGAGACGGAAATCCGTGAGGTAGGGGAGGTGTGACATTTTTAGGGTCGACCTTTTCTAACCCTTCCTTTCTTGTGAGAAGGCAGCATCGCTGCAGATGCTGGTTGTCCAAGGGAAGCACCTTACTGCTGTCATACCCCTCTGCAGTCAGCAGTACGACTTCGCCCTCAGACCTTGAGTAGCTGCTTTTAGTCTCATCCCTCTCCAATCGACCTGCCTGGCATGGTAGAACCTTCAGGAACATATGTTCCAGCCAATATAGCTCGGTTGGGTCATCACGATAGTCAAGCCCGACCACCACGTCAAGGTAGCAGCTTCGGTCGGGTGTTTGCTTTGAATAGGCGCTTATCTGAGCATAGCTGCAGCAGACGGTCGCCATTATCTGTTTTTTGAGCCACGACACCATAAAATCCACTCAGATATCTTTCCTTTTCACTTAGTCTACCTAATTAAGCATTAAGGTCACCAGCCACTATTACTATATCAGAGCGCTGAACTTTTTGAAGAAGGTTAGAGAGGTTTCTGTAAAACTCATCTTTCATCTCGTCTGAACTTCAGTCAGTGGGAGCGTTCGCAGATACGACGAAGAGGCAACGGCGTTTGTCCCTATCTTTCCGAGAACTTACTGTTCCCTTTAGTCGAACAGCGCACAAGCGACTATCTCCTGGGATCCAGTCTAAGAGAGCTAGTCCTGGTTGAGGAGATAAGAGAGTTATTAAGAGATGTAGAAAGGATTTGATTGTGACCGATTTGGTCTTCTGTGCTTTTACGGTAATGAGGGCGGATGTTTTTATCGGCTGCTCACACTGTTTAGGGTTTCTGGCTGTCAGAAGGGGCATCGGCCTCATGACTTCCTAAAGAACTCGGCTTTCACCATGAGACATGGTAACTTTTCTAAATGAAGACCTTCTTACTCCCAGAGCAGAGTTTATATGGTTTGAATCATTTTTTCTTGTTAGCATTTTTTAGCGAGTTATTTTTTTTGCGGGTTGGGGTCGCCAACCCCGAACCCAACCCTGGCCTGGGACTGGCAGTAGCCTCGGAGGGGCTCAGGAGGAGTTAAATTCGGATTTACAATGTTTTAATGTAACTGAACTAAAATAGAACAAGTTTTCCTTATAAGCTTGAAGGGAAACTTTTTACTGAGGTGTAAACTAATGGAAAGACAATTTTGAAGTGTAGTTTTTTGAAGGTAACATATTAGGGAGGTCGAATTGTTGGCCTTCAGACTGATTAAAAATTTGACATGATTTATTTTAAAACTTCTCATTGTGAAGTGGATAATTCTTTCCTTCTTTTTTTAGTTAGTATGTCTATTCGTTATTCTTCAAATTAAACTGTTTTACCTGTATTTCATTTATTTTGGCGATTATCTTACTTATTGCTAGTTTGAAATGCAGCATTTCAGCACATTATGCTGATGTGCTGCTGTTAGTCTGATTATTTAAATGGTCTTAAAGTTAATGGTTAACCAAATGCTTCCATATCGGATTTTTAAACCACAACATGTGTAATTTTTATCGATGAATTTTTGTTTTGCACCGTACTGAAAAACAGAATTTTGAAGAAAATGTACGAGATAAATGGTCAACAGTGAAAGATGCGGCTGTTAATCTAAAAAATTTAGAAAATCATCATTTAACTAGTTTAACGGATGTAAGGTGAGCAATATTCTTGGGGTTATTAATATTTAATTCTTTTTTTAAAAGTATTTTCCTTAGAGTACATAGAGTACGAAGTATGGCAAGCAAGGGATTTGTTATATGTTACTTTAACGTGATCTCTTTAAAGTTCAAATGGAGGTTGGTAATATAAAGTTATTGATATTTCAAAACTCGTAAAGCATTTATGTGCTTTTGTTTAAAGTATTTATCTCGTAAATCAGTGTGCTTTAAAAAAAGTTGGGGAAAGGAGTATAAACGAAATCAGCGTTAATATTTGTTGCTTTCAAATCAGTTAAATTCAGGAATCTTATTACACCCAAGAATAAATTATTTCATTGGGAAATTCTTATATCTAATATTGTTTAACAATTACTTATCTGACATTTCAAACTGTTATTCTGTTTTAAGTATCCATTGCACTTATTTTACGGGCGGAATCTTTTTACTTGGTAGTTGTCTCATGACTGTTTATATCAAGGATTCAAGTTCGGGGTTCATTCAAAGTTCTTCAGCAATAATAGTACAATTCCAGAAATTCATATTCCGCGTGCATTAATGAAACACATTATGTTCCTAGTATTACTTGTTAATATCTAAACTATACACAAGTACGTATATTAGTTGATCGCTTAGTATTAATCAGTGCAATTTTGCCTATCTAATATTACTGATCTCGTAAGAAGTATCACCCCTTTCAGTACTGAAGGTACACCTTGCTGAAAATTTTTAAAGAACACGAAGATTTTATCTGAGACTATCTGTCACTTGTCTCTAAATGTCTTAAATAAACCTAAACAAACTGTGACAGTGAGTTGATTAGATTAGTGGTCACAATACAACTACTATGACTGACGCAGATAAGCATTCACAAGCGAACAGAGTGAAGTTGGTTATTGCTCATCAGTCAGTTTATGAGTACATATGTTAATTTACTAATAATAGTTCAGTGGTTGTACACTGCACTCCTTGTTTCTACTTACTTGGGATCGTGGAACCGTTATCACTCAAGTGTAAACTCTTTCATATGGGTTATTTATTTAAATAGTATCTCAGTTTTCTTAGTTTATTCTTCATTCTATTGTTTAATAGAAGTTCTACATTAATGATTTTACTGGTGTATACTAAACTTTAATGCAATAAAGATATTTTATTAAGTCATTGTTATAACCATTTGCTTTATTTTGAAAAACATGTACACAGAGGTCGTATAACACGTTGTGACCAAGCAATATCGACACTATCGCTAAGAACAAATCAAACAATTGAAGATGTACGTCAATTGGTAGATACTCATAAACACGATCTGAACGAGTTGAATGGTAATATTAAACTACATGAACATAAAGTAAGAAGGATTAATTGTATCATCTCTTATAATAATAGTACTTAGGTTTTGTTTATCTCTCTATCCTCACTCGGGATTATATGAAATGTATCAAACAGGAATGAATGAAATAGGGCAATAAGAGTTACGAGAAATTGTTAACATCAAGAATTCGAGGAAGATAAAAGGTGTATTCTTCTATATTTATAATTGTGTTATATCCTATGGTGAAGAAATTCCTCAGTCTAAACTTGATTTTCTCTAAAAGTCTAGTGTTTTATCGTCTGGTGTTACATTTCTGTCCGGTAGAACATGGTCTCACTAAAATGTATTTCTATACTTGGTAATAGGCACATCAGTATAAGTATTACATATGGATGAGTAAAATATATTGCAACCAATTGAATCAACGAACACTTAAATCCTCATACAGTCCCAATAAATCTACACCTAACTTGAGCATTGTTTTATCAGTGATTTTATTTGACAAAATTCAAGCCAAAAATCAAACAGAATGTTTTGTTTTTTCCAGACAATAAAAACCCGTGAACAATTCATGGATTATACTGAACGTTGATTTACTATCAGTGAAACTGACAAAGGGATTAACTGAACCATTGTCGGCGTTTCGAGCAAATAAGATCAATTTAATATCTGTTTATTTTCTAAACATCATTGTATCATTGCTTACGCACATAGGTGTTAAACTTGATTAAGTTTGTAAAACTATTCATAGTTTACAAGAAACCAAAATTATTCTTTCGAATGCTAGGAGTTGTTTTGGATAAGGTGAAATCGTTTTCATCAAATTTAGATTCGCTGTTAACTCAAGTCCATGAATTGACAACGGAAACTAAAAACAAATGAATCAATGTAAAAAAAACATGTCTGTTTATTTTTCAAAGAAATTCTACGGTAAAGAAGACCATGTGTCTTATGGTTTCTGCACTACATTACATACTGTAAAAGTACTAACATTATTAAAAACTTTTTAAAATTAATCGAAGTCACAGAACTCCCTCCATAGTAATAATAAAATAATGAATTATATAAAATGCCCTAATGAGTAGAAATCCCAATTTCTGACGTTTCGCTGGAATAACATATATATATATATATATATATATATATATATATATATATATATATAATCACTAACATTTTAGTTAGTGTTCAGTTTGATGGAGATTATCTAGTCAGATCTTGGTGTCGATATCTTTCATAGAAGTATTAGGAAAAAATCATTACTATTGTTTGTTTCTAGTGTTATCATAGTTCTTTCTATTCAGTGTTCTGTTTTCCTATATCTTATATTGCTTAATATTTTATTGATTTCTTTGTCTATTTCAGAGACTAATTATGCATTGATATCTCCTATTCTCTTTAGTTCATAAATAATTCAACAAATTCATCTATTCATTCTCTAACTTACAATCTGTTTGTTTACGCTTGTAATTAAATAAAAATGCATTTATTAGGTTATTTTTCACTGAGTTACTTGCTATAGTCTGTTGAAGCATAATATTTTTGTTTTTGCTAGCAGTGAAATTCAAAAAAATGCAACTTTGCTACAAGTGAATTGTATGTTGATTTTGTCTTTCATCATATTTGTAGTATACAGGATTATGCTATCTGAATACTTATTTGTACGCTCATCATTTTTTCATATGATAAACATAAACAACAATTGTTGGTTTAATAAAAGTCAACTAATGAAAAATTGCTTTACTGTAGTGGTTAGGGGAGAAATAGAAAGTCCAGTGCGATTTAATGTTACTGTAAAATACCTCATGTCTTTCGTACTAGATAAACTAATAGACTATCTCGTTTTTACTGATCACTTGCTCCTAAATGATATTTTCGAAGTTTTAGAAAGAAACTCAGACCTATATAATCAACCATTTTGGGAGTGAATCAATAAATTACCATTTATGTTCATAAAAGGATAGTGTTGTTCTGCAATTTTTTTAAATCTCTTTTTGTTTTTTTTTAATAAGACTGAGTCTATCACAAGCACTACATAACCTGGTACAACTGTGTATGAGTGTAAGTTGACACATTTGAACTCAATACAACAAGTATAAATTAAAAGCATAATAAAAATTTAAAGTCGAGACAATCGTAAGAAATTTAGTTCGAGATTTAGATGAAGACAAAAATATTAGTTTTGATTAGTGTGATCGACTTTCCAGTTATTCCATTTATTATGCTTCAAAATTGACCTATATTATCGCCTTAGGAAGTTCAGTAGTTGAGTGCACCGTTCATTTTACTAGCCTCGGACACCTTATTAGCCCCGATGGATTGGCGTCCAGCAATGTCTCTTGACAGGTTCAGAAACCCCGATTCGCTTTTGCTAAATTGCGTCACTGGTATTTGATGATATGGCTCAGAAGCGATAGTGATGGCGCAAATTAGCCTGTTCCTTTTCATCACTTGGATCCTAAGTTCAAAAATTGCTATGTGCCTATTATTCCACGGAGTTATTCGCCATTCTTATGCACAATAGTTCTCTCACTATGAAAAATACCACTATCAATACTCTGATACTTGTCATGGTAAGTTCATTATGTTGTACTCTGTGGAAAATAGGATAAGTACACACGTTTGTCATGTTCAATGGCTCAGGACTTGACTTCAACTCGTCAAAGCGACTAAATTTGCTATGAAACAAGTTTTCCTTTTGATTTCCGTTCATTACATTTTCGGTTAACTTTGTTTGTGCGACTTCGGTGATTAAAAGCCTAACGTGGTTTATCTCCGTTTAATTTATTCCATAAACTCGGTAAGCCTACTGTTAAGAATGGAAAGCGTGAAAGAGAAGTGAAGCGGAGAATACAAGTGAACCAGATCAATTAATGGGGCATGACTAATTACTTATAGTGAGACTGAAAATGATAACTGAAGCAAGCAATTCACTACGTACTTAGGTAAAACACAACTAAGGTTATAAACGAATAGTGGACAAGGTCGGAAGACGTGTGAAGAGCTCGAGAAGAATGGATTAATTAATTTGCCCAAAGGCTGGGACAAGCCATATTGGCTCGACATATTAGTACACATTACGTATGTTCCACAATGGTTGTGACTAATTTCAGAGCTAGATGAAGATCACAATTGCCTTTCATTGAACCCAGGATGATCTACCGCCAGTATTCTCCCGCAATGTAAAATTTTTGGCCTTTCAGTATAATGCACAAAATATCAGCGCTGCTGGCTTCAGATGAATTGTAATGTGGTAGTAAATATTTGTCCACAATGCAGTAGTTCAAACTTCACATGACTGTAGGGTATGAGTTTATGTCCCTAAACTCATTTAATATTACCCAAAATCGATCATTTTTATGATTTTTATTTTTTTCAACTTTTTTAGTTTGCTGAAATTGCAAATCAAATTGATCGTGATAATGTTAAATTTAGTTCTTCTATTCAACGTGTAGAAGAAACTTTATGTAAACAGATAGTTGATGTCGAGAGGCGTGTACAACAAAAAATTGGTGAATTACAAAATGAAATTCAAATAGCTATTCAAAAGTGTCAAGAAGAAAAACGAGTCTTAGAATCACATTTGTTTGATAGTATACACACAGTGGCAGCAAATCTTGAAAATCGTGTTGTAAGTGTTATTTATAAAAATTTAAAAAATATTTACTTTCAAATAATTTTCTTCATTTCCTAAATTTGATAAAATTCTTTGAAGTATATTCAATATTATTCAATTTGCAATATATGCCAACATTGTGAATTCGAATAACAAATATATATATATATATATATATATATATATATATATATATATATATATATATATTTATACAGTAAATCAAGCCTTAATTATTCCTTATCACCACAACCAGTACACCTATCGTTACAGTATCATTTGTAATTTTTATTTATTTATGTAATCTATTCCATTTTTACCACTAGACCCATAATCTCTCATGATTAGTTTAATAATTTTATATAAGCATAAACATATTACAACATATTTGCATAAAGCTTGATGAAGATCTAGTTGAAAGTAATATTTTTTTGCGTATATATGCAGTTGAAATTATTCAACACAGCATAGCAAATACTCATTTATCAATATAAACATTTTGTTGATGTGTGAGTGTTAAATCAATGACTGTTGTCTATTTAGATTCATGTATGTGTCAGTAACAATTAAGTGTTCCTGGCTGAATATTGTCGCTCATATAAAAATAAGCATCTCATAAAGTGAATTCAGTTATTTTCGAAATCATCATTCCAGTTGTTTGATTTCAAAGTAAAAATATTCATTTTCTTATTTTAATTTATGGTTGAATATGATTGAATAAAAATGACAATGTAAATTTAACACTTTCAATTATAGATTATTGAATGATTTCATACAAATGTGCATACATAAAAAGCATTTTCATTAGTTAACAACCATTGCATTTGATTTATTATACAAAACAAGATAATATTCAATATTCAATTTTAGCTTATTTTAGAAATCGTTTTTAGCTTATTTTTATATAATTGTTATTGAATTCACTGTAGTCTACTGCATAGAAATACATGTTATGACAATGAAAATTCAAGTCATTATTCGATAAACCTATTTCATATAAACCATGAAGTACTGATATTTTGATTTGTACTAGGGATTTGTGAAAATCATTCAGGAATATATCTGTGTATTCATTTATTGACACAAAGAAAATGTTCACTGACATATAACTAGTACTTATTAAACATAATACATTACCTTTCAGCATTATTTGTATTTACTTAGTGTACAAAACGAAGCATGTCTGGTAAAATGAAGGTAGCATATAGTGCATCATACATAGCGGGATAGACTTTGTTAAAAAGAAACGAAAACATTAAGGCAATCAAAAACAAGAAATGACTAAGCGCGAATAAGCAAAATGTATTGCATTCTTAAGAGTGTAACCAACCCACTTCAGTGTTCAATAAAAGTGCAGTGTTTTTCATTTCATGCCTCTATTTCATACAGAACCTCTTTATAATAGAACTATTTTGACTGTAAGACTTCAAAAATTTATTATGCATCTTTATAAAACCACTGAATATGTGCAATGTTTGAATCCTTTTTTTAACTATCATTAGTGTATTCATGAATAGTTTGTTTAATTAACCTTATCAGAGCATTCATTTTAATGTCTTAAGCATTTAGTTCTATTTTTCAATCAATAGTCACTGACCTTATTTGTTAACCTTAACCTCAAACTGATTTACGTTGAGATATAACAGTTGGGTATAAAGACTAGTCAATCAGCTAATAAACAAAATTGAACGAAATCATTATTCGCCATGAAACGTTTAGCATTTACTTCTTCAATTTTTGTGTCTTTTTCTAGTTTGTATCAAAAAATTAAGTTGTTTTTTGCATTAAAAACTGTTCTTTTAGATCGCTGACTACTGAAATCATGATACATGTCATATATTTTGATTTGGATGAAAACATTTGTATATTTTTTTAATTTTACAGTAGAAGAACCTAGATTCGTCTCAATTATCTGCTGACACTGTTTAGCCAAGAACGATCTAACGTAATCCCTGCATGGAACGCGCTTTAAATTGATCTAGTTTTTATTGATAAATGTTATACTTCTATCATTAGTCTTCTGAATAAATGCATAATTAGGTCACGTTGCTGAAGATAGTGATAACTAACTGACTAAAATTCCTTCACAAGCGTCTTATTCTTTTTCCTTGATGAACCTGATGATCGAAAGTTGTTTTCAGTAGACAAATTATTTTCATGTTGAATGACTTGCTAGGATTATCTCTGACACTACAGTTGTTTGGCAGTTGTTTTTCATCCATAATACTGAGTTCAGAACACATTTTTGAAGGTTTTAGAATGTGTTTCAAACCAAACTATTTAAATTTTCACAATTAGATTTTATTGGTTTCAGCTGTCAACAAACACCAATATTTTACGTTACAAATTTATCAGTGTTTGCCTACAATCGTAGGTGCTTTGTTTTATTCAGTGAATCTTATAGTTAACTAAGATCACCCTACAAATGATAGTATATATTCTGCGGTCACTAGTGCTTCATTTATTCAGCGTAATAAAGAGTATATTTCGTGTGCTAAGGTGTGTTTTTATTATTTTAATTTTGAGATGTGATTAAAAAGACTTTCTCTACATTTAACAAACCACTTTATTCTCCAGATTCCCAACACAATTTGATGGTTACTAATTCATCTCATGGAAATAAATGACTTGGTCAGTAATGAACTAAATGATTCATTGTTATTTACCTTTTGGTGCACTAGATCCATTCTTCTTGCTCTGTATTTTAATAAAACGAAAATGCCTACTTACAAGTAGTTAAATCTTCACAATAATTTACTAGTCGTTCTCAATAATCAGTAAATACGTTAAATACGTTTCAAATATACATATACATATACATATATACACCGTTACTCAGATATATTATTAGATAACTGAAATCAGTTCTAAGTACATTTTCAGGAAATATTGTATCTTTTCTATTTGTCTTGTGTCCTGTGTGCCAGTTGGTTTAATTTTGTAATCTAATCCTACATGTATTAGGCGCTAATGATGTTTTCTAGATTGACGATGGAAGCTTTGTAATCAGGTTATTCCGCTTACACTACATAGAACACAACTGAGAGTATCCACCGGAGTGACAAATGATTTCTATCATATTAAATAAAAGAAGTACTCTCTATATAATACACGGAAATGAGCTAATCAGACAGAAAACACAGTGTTACACTGATTTTAGTTCAACTTTCCAGTATAATACTTCATATTTGAAAATCGCCTGTCAATGATTTGCCGAAGTGTATTAACTATTCTGCGTATTGAACACAAATTATCGTTCATTTTCAAACAAATAATCACTTACTGGTTTGACATTGAGTGTGTAAAAGATATTAAGAAGAAAATTGTAGTTGTAAAAATCACAGCAGTAAATATCGAATAACTCCAAAGTTTCACTTTACAGTCTAGTTCGAGCTTTTTCAGAGATCTAATCAACAATCGAAACAACCACACAACAACGATATGATTGTTCAAGCAAATTAAAGTGTCGAATATCGTTTTTTAGTGTGTGAATATGAGTGATTTTGTATGATCATGTTTGTAAAAAATGCCGATGATTGAAACTATAAGAATCTAACAGACATCTGCATACAGTACATCACTCATTACAATTAGAATAATGTAATCCAATAAACATCTGAAAAAGAAAGAAACCTTAAATTGTTGGTGGTTGTAGACGATGAAGTATCAGTAATGAGCAGTCAGAATCTCAAAACAGGATCGAACAAAATCAACAACAAACTTTGTTACTGTCTTGTATTCTAACGAAAATGTTTTGTGAACAGCCGATTATATCATAATCATTCATTGTTTATTTCCTACCTTAATTGGTTAGTTGCCCAGTTGAATAGTTGGTTCTAAATAAAACATGTCTCATATAAGATATTTGATTTGGAATGCCAAACTCATCGGAAACTAGACAGAAACATTTTGGTCCAGCACTTTTCTCCTCATTCCAACTTATTGCATTTTCGATCATTTATGCTGCATTCCCATTTGAAAAAGAAAGAAAATCCTACGAGTAGAATTCGATTGTCAGTTTCTGTATTCTTCAATTATTCTGTCGTTTACTTTGTATTTGTTCAGCTAATCATTTTATTTTAACAAAATAAACCATGATACATTTTAGGCACTTCTTGAAGAGAAAACGAATGAATTGAAAATTGACGAAGAATTATACGATCGAGTTGACATTGTTGAAACAAATTCATCGAATTTCAAACAACAAGTTTTAAGAACTTTCAAGGTATGGATATAAATTCATGAACTAATTATTTTTGTGACTAGTTGAATAGTACTTATTACATAATTTTGTACTTAATTTTCAATTGAGTTTCGTAGGCATTAATTTTTTTGATTGATCATTGTTACAGAATGCTGACAAAATCATGCAAAAGTTAGTAAGCATCATTTGAATCTATGCATATAATCCCTCTCCAAGATTATCAGTTACCTTTTGTATCTTCTGTCAACTTGTAGTTTCCTTGATTAACAACGAATTGAGTTGGTCAACAGTTTGTGTTCACATTCATTACTTCAGAACTTGTAACAAAAGTGTAACAGTCAATATGTTATGGAATTGTCAATTACTCATGATGACGTATAGTGGAATGTAAGTATCTAAAATAGTATCTAAACACGAAAGTTAGAATGAGTGAGATACTAACAGTGAAAAAGAAATCCCTGTTCATGAGCCTACAATTTTGGGGTGATGCAGCCAGTGAGATATTATTCGGCCTTCTTCAAACGGCAGAAGCAGTAACAATATGGACTGAAAAGTCGGATCTATGTGCACAAAAGAAATACTTTCAACACCTCCTCCCAATTAACCAATAGTCATGTTAACTACAAAGTGACCCAGTTTGACCATTGTATATACAACCTTCCTTAGTCGATTGTGATTGTCATTGTTAGCTTTATTCATATACTATTATTAGTATTATTGTTTTTATTATTACTGGGTCAACATCACTATTAGTTTTCTAAACACATGATCAATTTACTTAACACTCAAGTCAATTGAATATTTCTTATTGAATTTATTCAACATTGTGCACAAAATAGTCATTCATGAAACATTCAATCGAATTCAGTAATTACAACATCATTATTTCTCTCATGCTATCTAACCCATATTTATTCTGATCATCGGTGTCACAATTTCATTTTAAGCTCTTATCCAAGGTAACAGAGTATATAAGTTGTGGCAACATTAACAATGTAATTTTATTTCAGAAACACTCCTAACTTCACATAAGCTATCAGTTTGAAACGATGTAGTTAGCCTTTAACTTGACAATCATTTGGATAGATCATTTTACAACATGATGATGAGAATTTATTGAAATGAATAGTATTCGTCCATATATTTATATTTTGATATGCAGTTGATAAATTTATTGTATAAATTGGTTGATTAAACTAGATTAGCATTTAAAAACTTCCTTGATGTAACTGATATTATTACTGTGGTTAATGAGTAAGCAATAAAACGAATAAGATATCAGTAGTAACGAATCGTGAGCACAGCATATGAACATATTCAATGTCAATTGTCAATTAGCAAATAGTATTTCTTAGTAATAATTCATTTTGTTTTGTATTATTTCACAGGAAATCGAAGCTCGGATGAATAAACTTTCGGATGATTTATATGAACATCATCGTCAAACTATTGAAGCAGTCCGTGAAGAAATGCGTGAAGGTTTTCATACAATGCATGATACGTTAACTAGTGCAAAATCTGTACTAGAGAATAAATTACGCATATCTGAAGAAACACTACACATGGAATTGAATCAACTAAGAAAATTGATTGTTTTAGTATAAAGCTAATAATTTGTTGTTTAAATTTACAATCATGATTTATAAATAATGGATGACCTTATGCATTAAGTATGTGTACACGAAACAGAATTGAATATGAATTGATTGATTTAACTGAACAAATTTTTCACAATTAATCTGCCAATACAAACTGCACATATTGAAATTATCAAATCAACCAAGAAATTGGTCAATCATTGCATTATCATCCGTTTCCTATGTGATAATTATTTATATTCATGGAATATTTTCAGAAATTATGAATTATATTTATATATACATACTTGAAAATTAGTTAATTTCAAAGTGGATGCTGTAACATTTTGGTAAATTAAAAATAAAAAAACAGAACACATTTTTTCCATCATCATTGTTCACTTGGCTCTACTCTTGCCATAAAATTTAGCTTACTAACTGTTTATGTTAAGACCATACACTGTAATCATTGTCATTCAGTTAGTTTAATTTTTGTATGATCTACACAAAATTCTTATCGTGAAATTCAGAATCAACACTTGAATCATGTTGAAATGAATGAACAATTTATTTGTGAAGAAAACTTTACAATTATTACTGTTCTCTGTTCTGTTTCACTCATTATTTCAGTCACATCCATAAATCGTTGGGCATATTCAGATATTGTTTGAGTAATACTAATTTGAATTTTTTGTGAAATCATAATTTCTTCTAGGTTACATACAAATGAGTTTGTGTCAATTATTAGTTATAATTATCGAATTAAAAATAATGTAGAAGTGTGTAGTTTTCTTTTTTACTTATTTCTTACAATCATTTTCGAAGATTCTGTTGTTTCAAAGTGATTGAAATGTTTAGAATATGATGAGCAGATATTTAACCTTTCAAGGTCAGCCTTCTCACTGAGTTGAACTAGTGGCATTGTGAAAATGTAGAAATTGTGAGTTGTTGTAAATGAGGCTTAGTTTTGTTAAAGCATCTCATTAATTATCTTTGATGAATTATTTAAAGAAAACATAGCCAGCATCGGTAGTGATAAACTAAATCGTAGTACTAATAAATTATTTGATAAACATTATACGGTTTAAAATATGCATAATATGCAGTTGTGCGGGTCAGTTATGCCTCCTTATTTAACAATTTTAATAAAAACTTGGTCAATAGTGTCTTTCATCTGTGTAACAGCACATAGCGCCTTCTTTTTTCCAGTCAGTAGCCTCTTTATTGATTTGCGGCTATATAGCTTAATACATTGAATTTCGTCTATAGACCCTTCGGTGCTACGGCCGGACCGAAACCCAGATTAACGAGAAGGGTTGGTGTTGGCGACCTGATCCTGAAAAAAGCCAACTGGCGAAAAAATCTCTAACGACAAAATATAATTCCAACCATATAAACTCTGCTTTGGGAGTTAAAAAGTCTTCATTTAGAAGAGTTATGACATCTTATGATGAAAGTCGAGTTCCTTAGTAAGTCATGAGGTTGATGCCCCTTTCTGACAAACAGAAACCTTCCACAATGTGGGTAGCTGGGAAGTATCATCCGCCCTCATACCCGTAAAAGCACACGAGACCAAATTGGTCACAATCAAATCCTTTCTACATTGTCCATGAATAATACTAATTTCAAGTCCATTATCTAAAGCCAATCGAAAAGAAACTGAAAACCGCTACTGAGTCCACCAATAAATGTGACTGTCTCTTGAAAATCTTAATCCATATGATAAATAATATTTTGTCATTATCTACAAAATAATACGATGGTATTTTATACTAAAATATGAGAATTTAATGGCAATGAAAGATAAACAATTTCTTTCTCATATTTCTGTTATTATGATTGATGAAGTTTGTATTAGGTGAAGGGTAATTTATTGCTCTCGAATACTAACTTTGACAAGGCTACTCGAAAATGATTCTCATTGAATGCAATTAGGTATATATGATGAGATTGTTTCTTGAATACTTCAGTTGTTTTTTCGTGAATCTGGTTATCTCATTTGTGAGGTGAGAATTACACATAGTTTTTATCAATTTTAGTCCTCAATACACACTACACATTCTGGTTGATATTTCTCTTATTCTCATGTTCAAAGAAATCTATTGAATCAAAGCTAGGTTGACTATTGTACTTTGTGTTTGATTGTTTCTCATTGAAATGTGCATAGATGTATATATCATTTTAATGATCCGGACACTCTATTCTACATGCCATCAATGTTGATTGAGTTTTTTCTTATCTGTCATTGAATCTGAAAAGTAATTCTTTTGACAACAAAAATCAAATGACATGTGAAGTGAACCATGATCAGCATGATCAATGAATTTGTGTAAGTAAGAAAAGAATCATTCTTGTAGTATGCCTAATAAGTTAAACTGAATTTCCGAGAATTGATTAACTCGGATCGACTGATTCACGGTCTGATTTTCGTTGACTAATTTATTACTGAAACCCTAATCGGAATTTTCAATGCAGTCAGTCTATGATCACCTCGTTAGGATTTTTTTTTGTATTTTATGCAGTAACTTACTATTTAAAATAGATCAACTACTTTCAAATGAAATTTACTTCACATACTAATCTGTCTGAATGAGATTTCAGTCTTATCAAATATCAAATAAATGTTTTGATAAATTGTCAATACAAATTAACCAAATAAGTAGATTTTAATTTTGCAGTATCATTATTTTGTAATAATCTTATTTTGAAATAAAATATTTCGTTTTAAAGAAAATTCATAATAGAATGTCTGTTTGTCTTCTTTCTTTGAAGATACATAACAAACAGAATTGAAAGCATTGAATTACCGAAAGAAAATCAAACAACAACATAAACTTTAGTGTGAAAACAAACACAACAATCACAGAAAAATGTTCAAGAAAAAAATTAGTTCAAAATGAAAAACATCAAAAAGTATGAAAACAAATAACAATTGTGCAAATCACACACATTTTCAAAACGTAGACAAAATCATGCGTGCATACACACATACACACACACAAAAAAAACTATTTGTAAAGTTAGTTGGTTCGTATTGTGAACGAGAACATTAAACGTTTATTCATCATTCGATTAACCGATCAACAATTCTGTCATCAGTAAAATCATCATCGAAAATGTCATCCAGGCTGTGGTTGGGAAATTCAAAGTCTGAGAAGAATGGATCGTCAAATAATTTTCCACCTGTAAATAAATAATCATTCATGATACAAGGGTTATTTATTTTATTTAGACAAAAGTTAAATTTCTGGATAAAACCTAATTCAGTTAAATTTCGGTATCAAATATTGTCGGTTTAAAAGAGTTTAGGTGTGACGATAAATGATTTATCTGTAAAATGTATTATTTGCGTTGTGAATGTACTCCCAAAATTTTTATCAATGAAGCACTAAAATCATACACATATATGTGATATAGTGAGCTAATCAGAAGTGGCCTAAGTGGAGGACCGTTCGATGATAATTAGGAAATGTTCTAAAAGAGGTGAATTATATATTTAGATATATATTTTTTGTCTACATAAAGACAAGTATTTATATACATAATCTGCTAACCGAATAGACTTTATTACAGTCTTGCTTTCTACTCAAGTTGTCAGTTTGGAAGTTATCGTGTAACGCGTCCAACTTTGGGACACCGCACAGCATAAATATATACACAAATATATGGTTACTTAATATCTAATTTTGTTTGTGGTAAATGTAACAGATTGGATGATGTATGAAACATTATTAATCATGTACTTATTCTCACATTAAACAAACACTGAGGCAAAACCAACAGTATAAACACAGACTTATCACTAAGATCGATTCAGTGACTTCAAAATAACTTCAAGGTCAAAAGAGCGTCATGAAAGAATCGAATTTCAAATTTATACTAGTAGTTACGATTTTCATTCTTTCGATAGAAAAATGTTATGTTTCTTTTTTGAAATTCGAATAAAACAATTGTATATTTACTTACGAAGCTCTTGAAATAGTCTATCGAATTCCGAAGAGTCACCCACATAAATTTGATTATTTTTATCATATAATTGTTGTTCATTGTCTTTGGTGACCCAATACATAATGTAAAAGTTACACATTTCATCGTTTTGTGTATTACTGTAAAAATCATGTTTAGAAATGAATAATGAAAAATCAATTTATATACTTTTCAATAAGTTTCATTACAGTTGACTTATAGAAGTTGAAATATTTATATAAAGCAAAAATATATGTTTATCATAGGCATGAGTAAATATCTTGTTTTTAGTACTATGAAGATACTTGTATTCAAATTTACAGTATACAAATATGTACCTGATTTGAAAACACTTGATTTCCAACTTGTAAATACTTTATGCCGTTCATTTTCGTCCTTGTCTATAACTTGTTCGCCATATGCTCACATGATCTTACGCAGACGTGGACACGAAACGTTTAAGATTCAGTGGGAGAACAGCACATGTGAACTACGCACCGTAATCCAGTGGTACGAACATCCAATTTCAACCAATTTGTAATTATTATTAATGTGCAGTCAGTCATCGTTAATATGGCTTTTAGGATAATAGGATGGAAAGATTCCCAAAGTACAAGGACTGTGCTTTAATAAGCGAAGAAATTCTCGTAGTGAGATGCTTTGTAATAAATGTAACAGCTTAAAAATAGTTTCTGTCACATAATAAAACTAACTGGGGAGTTAGTGATATCCTTATCATAGTTGAATGAAATAACTTCATAAAAGCCTATATCCAACATTTATAATCCTCCTTCTGGATTCGTCAGCACCCCTAACCTTTGTCTCTCTAACCTTATCTCACTGAATTATAATTCTTGAATAATATCTTTAAACCCTAGTCTTCTTCAAAACCATTAATACCTCTACTATCTTTATCACTACGGGATTTGATTTGACATCTGCGTCTCTGTGCTAATGTGGTATGGCAACATGAACTTATCTACTTACGTAGGACGTTCTACTTTGCAACTGACTGAACACTCCAAAATGTTGATTAACTGACACTATAGGAGATCATGGTTGTTTGAAGTACTGTTGATATGATCGGCGCAAAGTTTGTCAACAATGATTTTATCCTACGTGATTTTTTGTATCAGGACCTACATTTTCTCGTTGGTTTGTCTAAACAAAAATTTATTGTCAACGTGTTTAAAAGAAAATAATTTTAATGAAAATATAATTCAATTTTAAACATACCCTATTCGGATTATTCTACTCTCTTTATTTTCAAATACACACTTTGCCGCCTAAGAGAAAATATTGAATAATTTTTAATGAAGAAATTTCATAAACGTACAAGTATATTTTCGTTGTGTATTTCCAATGATTTATTCTCCACTGGATAGAATGTCTACATGATGAAAGAAAACAAGACAAATTTAAAACAAACAGACAAATATGAAAATTCATTAGTAAAACTAATTACATTTTACACAGAGAAATTGTGTGTGTTCATATTCATGCGTTCCATTTTCAAATATTCAAAGAGTATTCGAAGAGCAACAATTTCAGTGGGATATAACATGAAAATTATCACCTTTTGTAATATCTCCCTATTGACATGATTTTTGTCGAGTGAGGTAAATGAATGATGTTAAATGGCAAATATTGAGACGAAATAGAATATTTCCTTTTGTTACGCTGACTAATTAATGTCTCTGTGAGATGATAGTAATCAATGGTTAGAGACCTTGAATGACATGACTCAAAATTGTTTAGAGTGGCGCGGGTGCATTCATTCTTCAGCTTCTCTTAAATCGTAACCTTCTGTATTCTTCTTCACCTTTATCTTTGTAAGTTTATTTGAACTGACAATGGCGTCTCTGTGCTAATATGGTATTGCAACTTGAACTGATGTACATACGTACGAAGTTCTATGTTGTAACTGACTGACTAATAAAAGTAATGCTAATAGTTTTTAAAGAATAAAAGTAATACTTAAACAAATTATCTGGTCATAGTTACGAAGAATAACTGTTAGATCAGTTGCGTGAACATTTCTAAACGTCGTCAATAAAATAAGTGTTTCTTTCGTAAAATATTCTCGAGGGTTTTTCATGTAAATAAACTTTCAACATTCGATAGGTCAAGTGGAATTTCTCTAATGTATAAGATCAATTTGAGTTGAGCTAATATTTTCATGCTATTTAACTTGACTGCTTACAGAAAACGGCACAGCATGTTTCTCACTTATTTATTATCAAAAGATAGACAAAAACATCTTATAAGATAGCCATCAACCTTAAACTTTCGCTTTCTCAATATCACATAGATCATTGCATTGAGACCACAAGTGAGGATCGATAAGGTGAAATCATTCGAGATTTTATAAATACTAACATTGGTTTAAAATCTTAAAAATAGGCTATCCAGTTCATATGTCACAGATGAGATAGACAAACTGAGCTTTCACAAATTAGAATATAAGCAACTTGCTATCCTTCAACTACTCTTACTGAATCATTGAAGATAATTTACCGGATGATATAAATAGTCAAATCTTTGATGTGAATTCATTCTGGTCTATTCTTAGTTAGTTTAATCTGTTTGCTTTGTTAATAGTGATGACCGTTGATATGAGGGCTTCAAAAGTGTCAACATAATAAAAAGACATGTGTAAATATATATGTAAATACATATGTAAATTTATATCGCTTACTTGATGAACTTGTGGTGATTTAGATCCAATGAGATATCTTTTATCTCCATCAATAACATAACCTTCACATAGAACACCTAATCAAACATTAAAAAATAAGATCAATAATAAAAGTCCATAGTTTCTTAACAGGATTGTACAAGGAAGAAAAAAGTATAGAAGGAATATATTCACTTTAATAAAGGTTACAACGAATATTGACTTTTCAATGTTAGCTCTTTCAAAAGATTGAGTCGAGTTCATCTGTTTTCACTCTGTTATATTCGTCATTTGATATGCTTGAAACGATTACAAGTTCACCATACTCGGTAAACGAGAACGAAGACAAGTGAAGTGATCCAGTGACACGTTAGGCCACTCTAATCCAAGCGTCCCAAGACCATGCTAACGGTGTCAGAATGTCTTGATATGGCGTAGAAATTGTACTCTAAAAGCACCCAGAAATTATGAGGTCTTCAAGCATACAAATCGAGTTTATTTATACATCATAGAATCAACCTTGGGAGAGCCTCAAGAGTAGCATACTAAATTAATACATCAACCAATAACAGTCAAAGATTTTCCAGGTGAGAATCGTACTCTCAATGTCAACTGATCAGCACATGTGCTAGAAGATAAAATCCAAAATAAGGACGTTCACCAAATGAGTTCTTGCGATCGAACGTCCCCAACACAGTCATTGTTTGTTTATATTTCAAAGATTTACAAATGACTAAATAATCAAGTACATTGCTTGAAAGAACATTTTTCAGAAAATCATTCTATGAAATCTGACATTTCTTATCAATACTTTATCCGTATGCTTCAAATTAACATCAGAATAAGTAAAAAATAACGATTGTTTTAAACAAACAAACATGTGTTAAGAAGATAAAGATTATTTTAAACAAAATATGAATAATATATATCGTTGTAACGAAGTGCAAATTATAAATAATGCTTATTGAATTGAATTTAGCTGATACTTTCATTGAACATTGAATTGAAGTAGACGAAGAAGAAGAAGAAGAAGAAGAAGTAACAACGATTCGGTAACAGAAATGTCAATTTTTCAATGATTTCACTTGATTTGTATAATCGTATTCATGATCAGTTTCTTTTCTAAACTAAGTAGTCGATATTATAATAGAATCGTGTTGAATAGTTTTAGAAACAATGAAAGTGGTCTCATGCCATAGAGTGTCTATAAAAATCAGATCTTGAAACGAAATTACGCGATAATCCAATGGCAAGTGAATTATATTAAGAGAAAGATCACTATCCACTTGATAAATATTAAGAACAGAATATTTAAATGTTGCATAACTGGTTAGTTAATAGTTGTGGTAAATAATAATCAGAAGTGGAAAATAGTCTATCTAACGTAAATTGTATCGGAAAAAGTAAACCTCTGTGGATTTGTTCACCCTTTCGTTTAATCAATCAATCAAATCATTTTACTGCCAATTTTATTGAACAATAGGCACTGTTGCTGTGTACGAATAAGTGAACAGATGAAATAATTCTATCATCTGTGAATGTATTGAGATTGTTGTTATTTAAGATAGTGTTCTCATAATGTCTCTTAGGTAAGAAATACAATATAGTTTTACTTTGACAGAAGGTGAGTCTAGGTTCTATATTCCATTGATTTCGATGAGATCGCGTTCATTATGAATGATATTTCATCAATTATAATAATAATAATATTTATTTGAATATAGGAGATAAAATAAATTTCCCAGAAATGTAAAATGATGGAATTGTTGTAGATATGTAACTCACCATGTTTGTGAGTATGAACTCGGTAAGCGAACGGATGTAATGTAGCATTGCCTGTGTATGAAAATGCCATATTCAGACTAGCTGAAAGCAGAAGAAAAATGATAATAATAATAATAATAACAATAATAATAATAAACTATCATATTTAAATCTGTAAAGTAAAAAACCATCAGTCAGCAAGTGTACTGGTACATTTTTGAATGTAAGATGAGATTTTGGGAAACATTCTTTCATATGGAATGATACTCAATTTTCGTTGCCACAAAGTTGTATAATTACGATTGGCCATTCGACAATTAAAGTGTCTTGTTTTAGAGATGTGTATAGATAAAACTAAGCTATGATAGCTGTCCAATGAACTGAAGTTTCAAATGAATCAAAATATTTTCAAAGTATCTAAGACATTACCGAAGTGAACAATCAGTTGATTTCATTTATACTGATTGATTTATTTGAAAAAAAATAACAGAGAATTTTTATCTTTATGTGACCCTGTTTTATTTTATTGCCAGAAATATAATCAAATCAAAAAAATACCAGTCATCTTATATCAAATAGATGGTATAGTTTTGAATTCAAATATTCAATTAATTTTGATTATTTTTCGAATAATTTTGAAATGACTCAAGTTTCTTCTTACTTAACAATAACGTAATGTTTTATCTGTACTGTTTTGGTTTACTTCTGCTCTTGACTAATTTTATAATTGATGCATATTGGATTATGAAAATAGTTAACATCATACGGAATTCTTATGATAGATTCAACTGCAAAATCGTGCACGGAGGTCAGCTGACAGACTCATTCGAGGTGAAGACCGGTGTCAGGCAAGGTTGCTTACTCTCACCATTTCTCTTTCTCCTGGTCGTCGATTGGATTATGAAGACGTCGACGTCTGGAGGGAAGCACGGTATCAACTGGACAGTTAGGACGCAGCTGGACGATCTGGACTTTGCAGATGACCTGGCTCTTCTATCGCACACTCAACAACAAATGCAAGAGAAGACGACCAGTGTAGCAGCAGCCTCTGCAGCAGTAGGTCTCAACATACATAAACGAAAAAGTAAAATTCTCCAATGCAACACAACATGCACCAACCAAATCACTCTTGATGCAGATGCCTTGGAGGACGTTAACACCTTTACATATCTGGGCAGCATCATCGACGAGAAAGGTGGATCGGATGCAGATGTGAGGGTGCGGATTGGCAAAGCAAGGGCTGCATTTCTACAGTTGAAAAATATCTGGAACTCCAAACAACTTTCAACAAAAACCAAAATCAGGATTTTCAATACAAATGTCAAGACAGTTCTACTGTATGGAGCGGAAACTTGGAGAACTACGAAAGGCATCATCCAGAAGATACAAGTGTTTACTAACAGTTGTCTACGCAAAATACTTCGGATCGGTTGGCCAAACACCATCAGCAGCAACGTACTGTGGGAGAGAACAAGTCAGATTCCAGTGGAGGAGGAAATCAGGAAGAAGCGGTAGAAGTGGATAGGACACACACTGCGAAAAGCACCTAACTGCATCATGAGACAAGCCCTTACATAGAAGGAAAAGAGGAAGGCCAAGGAACACATGATGCCGAGAAACAGAGAAAGATATGAGAGGAATGAACAAAAATTGGACAGAATTGGAGAGGGAAGCGCAGGACAGCGTTGGTTGGAGAAAACTGGTGGTTGGCCTATGCTCCATTTAGGGTAACAGGCGTAAGTAAGTAAGTAAGTAAGTCTATTGGATTATGCGAGAAATTAGTCAGTTGGAATACGTCTTCTCCTATTTATTTATTTAAGAATTAGATACATTTTTGCGAAATCATCATCCTTCGAATCACAGTTAATAACATTCTTAGAAAAGATTCGTTTATTAATAAATAAAATTTATCAATTGCGAAATCATCAATAGGAAAACGTGCTAAAAGATTACGTTCATAAATGAATCTAATGTTTTGCGCCAAAGTCAGGTCTGCAGTATAAGAGTTTGGTTCTTCTACAGTATAAAAGAAATCTATTGAAAAATCCTCATTAACAAATATTAGTCATATGCTATTTGGATAAAAGTGAGACGAAAATGAGAGATGTGTAAGATTATTTTTGAGAAAATAAAGGCTTTCTGTGAAGTTGATAAGTGAATGGTCACGAAAATAAAATAAATGAATGTTAGTTAGTTAGTTAGTTAGTTAGGTAACAAATAATCACCATTGATACACTTACCATTCATGTATGATTTACCAACTGAATCACTATTTTGGAGATTACCTAGATCAATTCGAAAATTGTTCAACATAGAAAAACTAGAACTCATGTATTGCATGTGTTCAATGGTGAACTCGAGATTGACAGATAACTTGCCTAGACAAGCTATCTCTTTCATTTTTTTTTAGCTATCAATGCATGTATGCATTAGGAAGAAGTTACACGGAGAGATATTCTATGAATTTAATTATGCCTATTAGTGAAAACTTTGATGAAGTGACTGTTGACAGATTTTAATCTAGACCCATTTAGTTTAGATGAGCCATGTCGCCAATAACAACTGATCATTTACATTATTCTTTGATGTAATAAGTAACTGGATAACATAAGTTGAGAATTGAATCATTAAAAGACATAGGTGATAGCAATACAGATAAAAAAACTTTAAACTTTGAATCTAAAAGAAATATCTGTAGAACCTTTTCTTACTTTGTCTAAACTATAAACTCAAAAGTACGCCGACTAGTTCATAGACATAACTCCATCCCATCTACAAAGTCTAATTCCATTTCATGTGACAACTTATTTCACGTAAACAATTTAAGTAAACATAAACTTTACATTTATTGTCTCTTTGGTACATTACGTAACCAACCGTCCTTCTGATTCGATTGTCAATAATCCGCGCACCTTGTGTTCTCTGCATTTATGCCTACTATTAATCTATCGACTTTATTTGATTCAAAACTTGATTTAACTATACATTAATTAATAGTCATTTCAACAATTGCCACCGCAGCTAAATTCATAAACGTAGCAGTTAAAAATGCATCTGACAGTACTGATGATGAATAATCATTGTAGACATTGAAAGGTAAAACAATTTTATATTTCAGATGAGATATTGTGTATGTGTTCTCATAAATAAGACCAATTAATTATCCAGCTAATGTTAAAATAAAAATATCCATCTTTAGATAGATTTCCTATTGTGAAATTATGATAAGAAAATTTAATAAAAGATATAACAACATGATATGAGATAATGAACACTTTTGACACATACATACTGTACCACATTATACCATGATACATACCTACTTGACTAGGTCCAATATCTTCATTACTAACTAATACAATAACTCCAGCTAATTTTTCAGTACTAAAATTATTTATCAAAAAAATAACAGTCAATTAGTATTTTTATTTACTATGAAAAAGGTATATGGAGTAATTCATTTATTAGAACAATAAATTCATGTAAAATATCTGAAAAAAAAATTGACTTGTATTATTCAAACGGTTTAGATTAAAATAGATTGGTCACACAAGGCGTAACATCTTTCCAAATGTTGTTTTCACCATTTTATCAAATGTACCACATGAATTGTTAATGATATCTTTATCAATGGGAGTAAATAATTTCAGTGCATCGCATTCTAAATTCAAAGCACTAAGCAACCGACAGTGATAAACAGCTTGTAAAATGTTGCTCACAAACATATTTACTACACTTACATACTTGCGCCTGTTACTACCAAGGAAGCATATACTGCCGAACGGCATTCGCTAACTTACTCTGTTCTAGGCCTTCCTTCCCAGTTCGATCCAATTGCTGTTCTTTTCGTATTCGCTTCCAGTTCTCAGAGTAATATGTTTTTCGGTCTGCCTTCTTTCTTTTGGCCTTGAGGATTCCGAATGACAGCTTGTCTCATGATGTGTTCCGTCCACCTTCAGCGATTCTTCATAATTTCTTACTGTCCTGAAATTTGTCTAACTCCACGTTGTCCCCTTTGGGTTACTGCCGGTCAAATGCCCGGACAAAGGATGAGGGTTGGGGATGGAGTTAGCCACCCCATCCCAAAGGGAAACTAACTCGCTAAAATCCCTAACCAGAAAATATATTCCAAACCATTTAAACACTGCTCTGGGAGTTGAAAGGTTTTCATTTGGAAGAGTTATCACGCCTCATGATGGAATCTGAGTTTCCTAAGAAGTAACGAGACCAATGCTCCAACTCACAACCAGAGTAACAAATAATATAGGTACACGGAATGTTTGCATAAGGTGGGAGACCAGGAGAGCCATCCAAGTTGCTGCAGAAATAAAAGAATACAGCCTGATGGTACTTGGAATGAGTGAAGCACAATGGACCCAAGTTGGACAATAAAGACTAGCTCCAGGAGAGCTGCTGTTATACTTCGGTAATACAAAAGAAAACACTTCATACATAAACTCACAAGAAGTTGCACTGATGTTATCCAGACAAGCTCAAAAAACACTGATAGAATGGGAATCACAAAGACCCATGATCACCATAGCATCCTTCAAAACAAAGAAAGAGGGTATTACTATCAACATGATACAATGCCACAAGCCTACCAACAGTTACAACGAAGACGATAAAGTAATGAGAGATTGTAGTCAATTGTTGAGAAATGTTCAACAAAGTATTTGACCATTCTGATGAAAGACTCAGATACAAAGGTTGGATTGGACAACAACAGATATGAAGACATCATGGGGCGACATTGACTGCAATAAAAGAATGAAAACGGTGAGAGACGATGGAGGATGTGAGAACCGAGAGAGGAGCTTACATAGTCTCAGATCATCAGTTGGTGGTGACAAAAATGAGACTGGAACTCAAGTAGTACTGGTCTGCTGGTCAAACAGCATCACAAAAGTTAAATACGGCCTTTCTTTGGGATACTAGAAAACTCAACGACATCAAGATAGCTCTCAGCAACAAGTTCCAGGCCTTTAACAATCTACTCAGTTGAGAGCAAACTACGATGGAAAACAATTGGAAAGAAGTCAATGAAGTAATCAATAAAACATATCTGGGCCACAGGAAGTATCATCATATGGAATGCATCTATGTGGATACTGAGGATAAGATTCAAGAATAGAGTAACAAGAAGTCAGTAATCACTATCAGCCGAACAAGCGCAAAGAAAACTAAAGAAGCAAACAAGCAAGTGAACAGGAGCATCGGAGCGAGAAATATGTGGAAGAACTATTACTGATTGCAGAAAAAGCTGCAAGAGAATGATTTATGGAATAGCTATTCGATACGACGAAGAATCACGACCAACAATATGATATACCAGAACAACCAGTAGAAAGCAAGAAAGGAAAAGTTACCATCGACATTGAAGAACAGAGAAACCGGTGTGTAGAGCACTTTGGAGAACTCTTCAATCAACCAGCCACACTGAACCCAACCAATCTCGATCAGCTCCTACCGACATCCCAAATAATTTTGACCCACAAATAATTGAAACGATAAGCATAAATATTAAACAGATTGTGAGCGACAAAGCAGTGGGACCAGACAACATTCCAGTTGAGGAATTGATACAAAGCAAAGACGTAACTACAAAATGTTGCATGGTCTGTTCATCAAGATTTGGGAAGAAGAACAAGTACTAACAGACTGAAAATAAAGACAACCTATCAAGATATCAGAGAAGATACTCAACATCATACAGAATTTTCACGATGGATTACACGGCGAAATTGTGCACGGAGGAATGTCTATAGATAAGTTCCGTGTAAAGACCAGAGTTGGACAAGGCTGCGTGTTCTCAGTTTCATTTTCTACTGATGGCTGAATGAATTATGAAAACCTCAGCATCTCAGAGGATGCAAAGAATATAGTTAACGAAACGAATGAACAGCAATTGGGTGGAACTGGGAACGAAGATCCAGAACAGAGTAAGTTGGCGACTTCTGATCGGCGGCCTATTATTCATTGTCGATAACAGACTAGTGGTATTGTCATTTGACTTTTGTATACGATGTAAAATCTACGTAAAAATGACACTTGAGAGATAGGTTTTTGTTTTCTTAAGATTACAAAAATTCACTGTAGTCATAATAAATTAAATACTATATTTATATCAAAGTTTATATGCATCTTGTTTCGAACAGTATCATTTTTCAATTTGTTTCCTAATCTACATTTTTGAAGCATTAAACGGTTGGCGTACTGTAGAAAATATTTAAATAATAGTCTTAAATAATGATTAATTTGCTTCATGGAAATCTGTATGTTTATTGGTGGTACAAGTTTATTACTCGCTAATTCTTGTTGAAGCATTCGGCGTTTCTCATAGTGCATTCGTAAAATGTGTTGGATTTATAACACTCTAGAGAATCCTATGTGAAGTATATTATAGTACACCAAACGTATCAAATGATAATAGTTATTGTAATCAATACAAAATTTATTTTGTCCCTGAAACAACATTTACCAGATGAAACGTTACATTACATGCATAAAAATTGCAAATATTCGATGGATTTAGGAGAAATTCATCTCACATTTCTGATTATGGATAACTGAGAGGAATATATAATGCAGCCTCTTAACTTTTAGAACATGCTTCATCTACTCTTTCACAAATTCATAGATTTTTATAAAACTGCGAAATCCATATTTCATCGAAGATTTATTCCAAATTTACTACTACCAATTTGACTACTGATTATAAATAAGTAACCTAGCTAATGGGGATTTTGTATGTGTTGATTCGAGTTTTAATATGACAGATAGGAGGGGTTGAGATGAACTTCACGTTCTCAAGTCATCCTTGGATTTTGATATTCCGTCACAATGAAACACCAAACATTTGGCTCACTGAGAAGTCAGAAAAAACCGCGAATAGAGAAAAATTATGACCATCATGAATTACGATGGTAGTAATAATAAATCTTGTCTCATTGTGATTGGTTGACAGGTTCAAGGTCATAAGTACGAACAACAGTGGAGTTTATCCTCATTCGAATATTAATTGGTTATTTTGTGACCTATATTGTTATCATTTACTTGTCACATATTATCGAGTCGGTGATGCTGTCTACGTAGAATATTTTGTACATCAGCATAAATCCTGATTGGATATTCAGTTAAGTGTCAATCAGTTAGATCACTCAGAATTATTTCATTCGATATTTGAAGATCAATCCTAATTAACTACTATTCATTGACCGAGAATTTAAGACGATTTAATGGATTGACTTCCCGTTCATACTATATCTTAACAAATTTGAAAAATATTTAAATGCTATTTCGCTTATTTATTCAATGTGTAGAATTGTTACATTATGCCAATATTTAAACTGTATCTACTTGTCAACAAAACATTGATCATCAATTAACCTATAAGTTTATACAAATAATTTGAAACAACCGTTAAAAAATATTTGTATTATTTATAAACGTACGGTGTAGACTGAGTCGTCATTTTGAAACCACTTCCATCGTCATCGGTTATCTCTTCGTTCATTGCATTTTTGTAATGAACTTGTAATACTAAATATTTATTTGGTGTTCCACGACCAACTTTAAATGATACGTCTAAACAAGATATAACAAATCAATAAAATATACCATTCACTATAAGCAAAAATTCAATTCAGTAATATATATATCAGTAGTATATATTTCTAGCAAAATAATCACGAAATCAATTTTTTGATTTTCTAAATTATTGAAAAGTCTATTGTATCATACAGTGTTTGAATTTCGATTATATCGTATATTGTAGTTCAGAAACAATTAGGCGTCATTTGTTCGACTTTACTTAAAGAAAATCACAACATATCCAATTTATGTAATCCTTATCAGTGGAATTAACTAGATCAGCATTGATGAGTTGGATAGTTAACGATGATGATTTGGACTTGATGTATTCACTTGAAAGTGTAAAACAATGAGTCTATGCTGAGAGGTTTTATAGTATCGTAATAATTATAAACACTAAGATTTTAGTTGGAAATTACTAGAGAATCCTAAAGAAGCATGAAGCAACTGTCTAATGGTTAATTGTTTATGCAGATAAATAGACATGTCCAAATGCAAAGATTCCTACCATTTATTGTAAACATATGTGCAAAGTGTATCCTAAAGAATATTCGGTTAATGGTGTTCAGTCCACTGTTAGGTTATTTCAAATAAGATCTTTTATATAAACGTTTAAATTTTAACTGTTTTTAATGGAAGTAATAGGATTGAACACATTGAACATTTCAGATGTAGTTTACTGGATTACAGTAATTTGTCTGCACTTTTGAAAAGAGTAAAATTTTTGCTAGCTACTCATCAGTGGAATTGTGAGCAAGGTTTTCGTCATAGATAGACGAGAGAATGAGATCAATATGATTTCAAAAAGTATCAATTTCAGTAGTGAATTTGCATTTGTCATTTGGTCATTTGTTTAGTATACAGTTACGTTTTACGATTTAAAAAATATAATTTGTAATTTACAGTATACACTGATAATAATATTTATAAGATATTAAAATGTTTATTAAAATATATGTATTCTTTTCGAACATTCCATTTCCATATTTTATAGACATGAGATATAATTACTGAAAATGAAATCTGTCTATTTATTTGATTGTGCTTTGTGGTCTTTGATTGTGTATTATGCAGAAAAAAAGTAATACTAAGTGGAATTTTATTCAAAAAAGTAATGATCACAAGTCAGTTAACAATACTGCTCAATTGATTTAATATACACAAGGATTGCCTCTATATTGAATATTCACATTCTCATGAAATAACAATATATCACAAACTATTCAAAATTGACTTGATTGTTTAAATTTCCTAGATTTTTTTGTATTGTAGATTTTCCCAAAATATCAATTTTGAATAATTAGGATTTATAAGCAATCACATCAACTTTCATGTTAAGCTAATTGTTTTTAAACAATTGGTTTTGAGTAGTATGATCTGGTGAAATCCATGTGGCTTTGTGTATGCGTTTGTGTGGGAATATTGTGCCACCGATGACCAGTTTGCTGAACGCACATAGGTATGCAAATCTCTCACCGTTTTCGTTTCTTTCTCCAAGTCCGTTTCGTTCCATGATGTCTTCATATCCAGTGTTGTTCATGCCAACCTTAGCATTCAGGTCTCCCATAAGACTCGTCAAATCATTTGGTGAACATTTCTCGACGATTGACTGCAGCCTTTCGTAGAATTGATCTTTAACGTCGTCATTGTAGTCATTGGTAGATGCATAACATTGGATGACATTCATTGTAATGTCCTCCTTCTGTGTTTTGAAGGATGCTTTGATGATCCTGGGTCCATGAGATTCCCATCCTATCAGTGCTTTTTGTGCATGTTTGGACAGCATCAGTGCAACTCCTTGTGTATGTGAAGCATTTTCCTCTTCATGACCAGGGTATAACAGCAGTTCCCCTGAAGCTAGTCTCAGTTGTCCTGCCTGTTTCCAATGAGTTTCACTGATGCCGAGCACCTCGAGGTTGTATCTTTTCATTTCTGCCGCAACTTGAAATAGTCTTCCAGTCTCCCACAATGTACGAACATTCCATGTACCTGAAAAATGGTTGCTCCGGTTGTCAGAAGAGGCATCGGCCCCGTGACTTCCGAGGGAACTCGGATTTCATCACGCGAGGTCATAATTCTTCTACCAACTCCCAGGGCAGAGTTAAAATGGTTTGAATTATTATTTCTGGTTAGCGTTTTTTTGGCAAGTTAGATTTCAACGCAATGGGGTCGCCAACCCCATGTCCAACCCTCCTCCTTTATCCGGGCTTGGGACCGGCAGTAGCCCCGAAGGTTCTACTTGCGGAGTTTCACTGACAATGTATGGATTGATTAATGGCCTTTTCTACTTTCTGTAAAATAAGCATTCGCAGCAAATTAGTGTCGAGTATTTTCAACAAATAATCTAAATATCTTTAATAGATGATAATATTTTAAACAAATGAAAAGAAATCGAATTTGTATAACTATTTGTGGGATCTAAATCTTACAACCGTTTTACTTAAATTTGAATAACATACCTTTTGGCATTTCAAAAGATGGAGCTCCCATTGCCCAAGAATATATAATTGACTCAGTTCCTTGACATACAGACATTTCGTTATCTGACGTCATACCACATTTCCTACAATATTAATTTTAAAAAACTTCTGTCAATATAGATGATAACATTTTAGCAATTGACTGACACAAATTTACTCAATTTTAAATTCATATTCTAATGAAGATTTTATGAATAGAAATTGTTAATATTTCTAGTGTCCTTAGTTTGTGCATACTTTTCGCTGTATCAGAAACTCTGTGATTGATAATATTCAATCAGGAGTAAAATAACAACATATCAAATATATCACAAATAAGAAAATATCCTCATTCTCTCTACCCACCAATTTCATAACACGTAACCATATAACTAGACATCAATAATTTATGCACGTCTTATAAATTAAATGGTAATGTTTCACACAAAGTAAATTATCATGTTGTGTATTGAATTATCGTATGAATGCCTTAATTCTGATATGGTTTATAACGAAAAATAATATACTAATGTAGGTTCAGAGAGAATATCTTCAACCTACGTTTTATAAATGTTCATAATCACAGAGAAAATATTTAAAGAGATTTATAGTTAAGCAGGAAAATACACTTGTAAGTGTCTCGTTCAACAATCTAGTCCAGGTATTTTTCAAGCAAACATAATCAAACATTAAATGTAAATAAATAGTTCACTGGTTATATTCAAGCGAAACAAGTGATTCTGTAGTGTTAACAATGTGAAAAGTGAAATTAGTCATAGTGTGTGTGTGCTTAGAGTATTGCTTGCATGAAAAAAATACTCATATATCCTCCTACATTAACTCAGTGACCGACTTCTCTAAAGCTGTTCGTTCAAATTTCGATAAATCTTTTTTGATAGAGAGATTCATCCCAATGATAATTTCAGAAAATAAGGTATATTATTGTTTAGTTGCTAAACAAATGTTAGAAAGATACACAAATCTAGCCTGGCGATGACTATGGATATAACCATTGAACTTTGAAGTATAGTTAGCATCAAACTAACATGACGTTTCGCTCTGTATTAATGATCACTGTTTTCAAGAGTCTTGATCAGTTTCTTATTCGTCTATGATTCTAGCACTCATTCTAATTTTACAAATCTGAAATGCTGATCATAAACGTATTCTTCTACATCCTTTTTGTAAGGTACACATTGGTCTTATGTATTTATTATATAGATTACATTTTAATGCTTCTGATACTACTACATCGGTAAATTGCTTGATCATTTTCAATCATGTCCTTTTAGTTACAGATTATTTCAGTCAACACTAGAAATATTTTGACAATCTTTGATTACTTTGTTCAATAATACAGTACTACTTCATTTTTTACAGAATTCTCCATTTGAGACTTGAATACATTTGTCTATCTTTCATAATTTTGTTGAATGATGGACCACTGTTCTATTTTATTTTAGACTATCAAATGGAAGAAAATACAATTGTACAGCTTAAGAAAATGAGAATTTACTTCACTGAATTATCTCCATTTCTATTAACAATAGTAACAATCAGATGTACAATTCATTGATCAGCATATTCAAGTTGTGATAAGGATAACTTGACTTTCAATGTCAACTTATTACAACAACTAATCATACATTATTTTGGAAAGTATTACTATACACTATAATCTGTACGTGCTTATGTCTGAGTTTAAGTTATGTCCAGATAGTCGAGAAAAGTGTAATTTCATTTTACAAATATCTTTGCCTCCTCAAAATCAAACAATTGAAACGTTCCATATGTGTGAACACTTTTTGATGAACTGTTTACAAGAAAAGAGAACGGTTAAAGTAAGGAGTTTATCGATTCTGAAGAAAGAGAACATCATATCTGATTGTCTGACATTGTTGAGACTCTTTTCTCTAGAGGTGAACCTTACCGAACTAAACTAGATCAGTTTTTTCAATATCAGTGTTTTAATAATCAGCATAAGCTATAAGTAGTACCTGGATAGTAATTATTTCAAAACAACTATCTTCTCATTTACTTGAGAAAATAATAATCACGTTAATTGTGTACTTATATGTAATGAGATATTTTTCAAGAGGTTTCATTTTTCTCAAGAACATAATGTAGAAGAATGTTTTAAGAAATTTGAGAAAAACTGTTACAACTGAATTAATTGCGCTAAATAGACTTTCTTGACCTTAAATGCTCTATTTAGAAAAGTGATAAATGATTGAAATTATGATCATCACTAGTAGCGTTAACTCAGATTTTGTGTTAAAGATCATTGATTGAAAATCTCTGTCTGTTGAGAGTGAATATATTCACCCTGAAAGACATGTAGTGAATATTTGAGAGATTACCACAAACAAAGTACATTGAAATATGAACAGACTGATTTATATGTTTTGCAAAATCTATATATACGTAAAAGTGAACACTTGTTCAATCTTGATAGAAACAATTTTTCCCAATAATTCTAAACATTTTGAACACCACGTCTTTTATATCGCGCATCTTATTTGATAAAAAATGAAAGCCAATTACTTTTGACTTTTGGGGCGGAAATTCGAACATACTCGTCTTGATTCTGACTGGCTAATTTGTCATCACATACTTTCAGGTGAGAATGTATCCATTCTCATTTATTGTGTCTTGAATCGAATGTAAAGTTCTTCAACTATGTATAGTGGTTTCGTCAACAAAGTGAAACTTAAAAATTTCATTTCATGGCTGTGCAGTGATAGTCACCAGTTTAAGGAAAGTGAAATTTCATATTCCAATATGCATAGAGATGATCGTAGTGATTGGTAATAAATTTACTTACCATAAACGTTCTGAGCTTCCTGGCTCCTCACATGCGAATAAAATCATATGATGTACAAGTTCAGGTTCGTATTCAGGCTTGAATCCAGCTAGAATATATTTCAGGAAGAATGATTTCAGATAAAGCAGTAGTATTCATACAAAAATTTTAAAAATGCTACAGACGTTTAGAAAAGAGTCTGGATTTTAATTCTATAGAAACATGGATAGAAACAAGGGAATGTAGGGAATAGTTTTCACCGCGAAGTTATGTCAGGTCCAGAAGAACTGACAATCAGGTTGCATCCTAGTGTTGTTTAATACTATTTTGTAGGACTTAGTGATGTTCGTCACTAGATGTAGACTTGCAACTAGTGGCATCGTGTTTGTCTCAAGACATTTAGTTATTAAGGATCGCCCTCACGTGAGAGCTCACTTAAATGACGACACAGAAGCCATTCTCTAATTCTTTCTTTTCAGATGTTTGTTGACTGCTGGCTGTCAATTAGAACAAACGGTACCGAAACATTCAAATAATATGTTTGCATAAAAAAAGAATTTGGTTGTTATTATCAATCAGATAAAATTCCGAAATCTAGTTAAAACACATCAGAGATATGTTAATTTCATGTGAACTATTATAAGAATGGAGCAGGTTGGGTAACGAACACGAGCCAAGAGTAGTTTATGAGCTTCATTTATTTGATAACATGTAGATGAACAGTGGCTGCACACAAATACACATGTACGAAATTTCACATAATGCTTGCATTTCAAAATGATATTTTTTTCGCAAAATTTTCAGAAGTATTGCAACTACAGTGACGAAATCGCAATTCGACTGAGGATTTTGTGTTAAATACCAGTCGGCCAACAATCCTGAACTGATGTTTCTTGCTGATCGCCACTCTTTTTAAATATATTTAAGAAATACATTTGTCCTGTGGCTAAGTAGTTTTGCAAATAAAACATTCATCGATGCATATAGCGTAGCATGTTCCAAGTTTATTCACTTCTATCTACGTGAATTTGGAAAGTACCGATCAAGAGTCATATTGATAAATCACAACAAAGTTACTAATAGAATTAATTCACTACAAAACGCAACTGGTTTGATGCTGTGTAAAGGGATTCTAACTATTACAAACATTCATATGTAAGAAATTGTCTATGTAGTCATTTCAACAGTAGTTGTGTGGTGCGCGCTACTTATAAGTAGTATATGAGGCGAGTGAACACGTTATGTCTGGCAGCAGAAGATGAGGGAAGACCAAGAAAGGAAGAGTGGGAACACAATGGAATTTGTATGAAACGCATGAATAGTGAAATGTCAGACAATGGATTGTTGATGGATTGAAGATTTGCAAATTAACCATTTACGATATGGTTTTCCTATTTTACTGAGTAACTCTGTAATTAGCGATAAACACAATTCGGTTGCCCTCACCTGTGTTCTCCTTCACTACATTTGGTGTCGCTGCCTACACGAAGGATGAAGATACCATGGCTAAAGGAGTTTGAGGACGGAAATGTGTGGAGCTTTCTGAAGGAGTCTGAGGCCGTGGCGGAGCTGGTGGGTGTGAAGGGGGCGAAGGCGAAGCTGGTGGTGCTGGGGACGCTTCTGAGAGGTAGGGCAAAAGCCATATATGACAGCTTGGACGGTGCTGGCGGCGAGACGACGTAGGAGATGGTCACCGGGCGGCTGATGACGGAGTTCGACATCCCGGTGGACAGGGAGGCGATGCAGGAGTTCCGGTTGGCGAGGCTGTCGGCTGATGGTGACCAGCTGGTGCTTGCTGTGGAGCTCACCAGGTTGCTGCGCCGTGCGCTGCGGAACATCGATGAGGAGTCGGAGGCACAGTTGTTGACGTTGCAGTTTATCGAGAGTGTGCCTGCCGCCTTGTCCCAGCAGCTGAGACTAGTAAACGCAGCGCAACCTGTGGATATCGGTGGACTGGCGAAGGTGACTCGTCAGCTGATGACACGAACAGTAGCTCCGGTCGGGTGCGGAAAGCAGGAGATAAATACTTTCGAGAAGAAGATTGTGGAGTTAGAGCATGAGATAGCAGCATTACGAGTGGTTCATAAAAGGAACGATAAATGTTACGCTTGTGGAGGGACAGGACATTCGAAGATAAACTGTTCAACAAGACGACGACGACGATATTTTAAACATAACGTGTGTTCTTTCCACCCTAGGAATCTGGAGCTTCTCGCACTAGTAGATAGAGGGGCAATTTATACCAGAGTGTACATCAATGAAGAGGAGTTAGTGTGTTTGATCGATACAGGGGCAGCAATATCGTTAATAGACAAAGAGTAATGTAAGACAATCAAACCATGTGCATTAGCTGTCCACACAATAGGAGGGCGTATGCTAGAGGTTTTGGGGGTATCTAACAGTATTATAAAGATGAGTGGAGCTGAGATAAATTTTCCGTTCGTGGTATCCACAAGCTTATCGAGACCGATATTAGGAGCAGATTTCCTAAGAGAGGTAAAAGCGATAATTGAATTGAGAAGCGGGAAAATGGTCACAAAGTACGGTTCATTGCCAATACACGAAAGTAGTGAAGTGGCTAAAATAAGGGTGACAAAGAACGTCTCAACCAAGAAACCAAACATTAACGAGTTATGCGCAAAGTATGCGAAACCGTTCACTGTCGATGGGGAGCCGTATGGATTTTGTGACAAAGTAAAGCATGAAATTCCTATAAAGAACGACCGAGTAAATATATTTGCAATACGTCGTGTCCCGGTGCATTTAGAGGGCGAGGTAAATCGACAGGTCCAGGAAATGTTGAAGAAAGGTATAATTAAGGAAGCAGACAGCCCGTATAGCGCATCGGTACTCTTGGTAAAGAAACCCAATCGAAAGTATAGATTTTGTGTCGACTTTAGAGAACTGAATAATATAACAGACCTGAAACCGTGCGCGATGCCAACAGTAGTAGAAACATTAGCTCGGCTACAGAATGCCACGGTGTTTACAGTGCTGGATTTACGGTCAGGTTATTGGCAACTATCTATAAAAGATAGCGATCGCAACAAGACAGCATTTACTATACGGGATAAACAGTATCAATTTAAATGAATGCCGTTCGGGTTGGCGGGTGCACCGTTTACGTTCAGAAGATTGATGACGCTGCTGCTTAAGAATCTAGATAATGTTGAGGTATATGGCGACGAGGTAGTTGTATACAGCCTGACGGAAACAGATCACGTCAAGCATGTGGAAGCAGTCTTAAAGCGAATTGAAGAACTTGGGCTTCGAATTGATAAGGAAAAGTCGCAGATAGAGAAAAACAGCGTCATACTGTTGGGACATAAAGTGGGAAATGGAGAAGTAAAGCCATTACCAGAGAAAACTCTTACCATAAAAAATATTGCAGTACCTAATTCGAAAAGGAAGTTGAGACAGTTCCTGGGAAGAGCGGCGTTCTATAGTCGGTTTGTCAAGAATTTCAACGAAATAGCAGCGCCCTTTTATAAGTGGCTGAGTAACACCAAGTTTACATGGACTGATGTTGCCGAACAAACGTTCAACCGAATCAAAAACATGCTAGACGATGGTCAGATGACGCTGCGACTGCCTGAACCCGGGAAACTGTTTACAGTGGCCACGGATGCAAGTGGTCATGGTGTAGGTGCGGTATTGATTCAGGCCGATAGTGGTGGAATACGCAAGTCGCGTTCTCAAACCCGCCGAGCAGAAGTATTCAACGATCGAAAAGGAGTGCCTAGCAATCGTGTGGGCAGTAGAAAAATGTAGACCGTACCTATTAGGTAGACGATTTCACATTGAGACTGACCATAAACCCCTGCAGTGTGTCACCAGGTGTCACCAGGTAGCACATACAGGCATCGCAAGAACGACGGATTTATTACGACAAAGTGCAGACTGGCCGGGCGTGAGAGACGAAGTGGCTCAATACGTGTTAACTTGCCAGCAGTGTCAACTAATGAAAAGCGATAGATACACACAACCTCCATTACAGTCGATCCCAGTAACCGCAGTCGGAGATCTATGGGCGGTGGATATAATGGGACCATTTCCACAGACGGCGACCGGTAACCGGTACCTGCTAGTGATGACGGAGCATGCTACACGTTGGATAGATGCCGTACCCATTGCAGACCAGCGGGCAAGAACAGTGACCGAAGTGGTGATCCGGCATATTGTAGCGTGCCACGGAATACCGAAAATGATATTAACTGACCAGGGTCCCTGTTTTGGAAGTGACGAGTTTAAAGACCGTCTAAAACAGTTTGGCATCAAGAGGATACGAACTACACCGTATCATCCTCAGACAAACGGGCTTACAGAGAGAAACAACCGGACGTTAAAGGAATGGTTAGCATCTAAAGGAGGAGATTGCTGGCGCATCGTTCCCTCATACAAGGTACAACCAAGAAATCACCCTTCTCACTCATGTATGGTAGACAATGGCGACTTCCATTGCACAACAAGACCTGGCCACAACAACAGAAATGGACAACAACAGGGTTAAGAAAAGAGAGGAGGGAGGCAATTAGGAACGTTGGAAAGAAACAAATATCAGACATAAAGAAGGCGCAACAACAGAGGGGAACGTGGAAAACTTTCGCAGTGGGGGACCTAGTAAAGTGTAGAGAACAAAAAAGTAGCATAGCAGGGGGATCAGCGTGGGGAAAGCTGACCCCAAAGTGGGAGAGACAGTACGTTATCACGGAGAGACGTGGCGCGGTGTACACGATCCGGAGAGAAGACAAGAAGAAGCGTGTAAATGCCAGTCAACTGCAGAGGTGGTTTCAAGATTATCAAGTGTGTGAGTCACGGAAAGCACCAAAGAAGACAGCGATACGGTGATCAGAAAGACTAAGACGACAGCTTATTAAAAGGGGGGAACGAGTGTGGTGCGCGCTACTTATAAGTAGTATATGAGGCGAGTGAACACGTTATGTCTGGCAGCAGAAGATGAGGGAAGACCAAGAAAGGAAAAGTAGGAACACAATGGAATTTGTATGAAACGCATGAATAGTGAAATGTCAGACAATGGATTGTTGATGGATTGAAGATTTGCAAATTAACCATTTACGATATGGTTTTCCTATACTTAGTGAAAATGAA